TCTCCACTATGTCAGGCTCAGGCAGCAATCCCCGGTGCCTCCACTTTACCCCCTCCATCTGTCATACGGGGAAATCCCGTCCAGATGTCTCTTTACACAATGAGTACTACTTGTAAAAAGCAAGATTTGGCTTTTCCTTTCACTCAGGCAACTAGAAAAGTTTGACATGAATGGACATATACCACCACTATAAATATCTTCCGTTCACGCTATATTTGGCTTATCCGGGCGTGTTGTTTTTCCGAAATAGCTTCCATCCGGCGTGAAATATCAAGCAACAAATTACCACACTCCCGCCAGCTCCCACCCAGTCTAATCCAAACCAACCATTCAATTCGTCCCGCAGCCCGCGCCTTGCGCGCGTCCATCACCTTTTTTTTTTTTTTTAAGTCCAACAGGACTAAATTTAGTAACATCATTTGCGTCAATCATGAGCTTTCCCTGCGTCAAGCCTTTTTTTTTTATCCCCGCCCCGCTTGTAATAATATCCAGGTCGTCTCGTGTTTGGATTGGTTAGAATGTCACGATAGTCGACGTTCCACAGTGACGTCGTTGCTCTGATTGGTTCTAAAAGGAGGCTCTTCAGTGTAGAAGAAAATAAAAGCGATCGAGGGGAAGAAAAAAAAAAGAACTCCGATCTGGCGGCAGGTTGTCTATTGCAATGCATGGAAAGGCTTGTGCCTGCTCCATGTTAATTTTAAAAGCCTCCATCAATCATTTGTACAATAGTACAGTATAAATACACCAGTGAACATGTATCTCGGCTTTATTCAAGATAACTTTGGTAATAAGTCTCACTCATAAATTCAATGAGATTTACCCTGATATCATTGTAAGCGATTGAAGTCTTTTTAAGTTTTCCCACATATAAATACACATCTTTTGCATTTCACAGTTCAGACAGCATTGTCCTACAATATTGAAGAATAGTTTATTGACGAGGGCAAACTACATTGCCCTTCTGCCCTGTGAAAAGCCACATGTAATCCAATATGGTTCGCTTCATGGGACAACCCTATAATCCATTTCTGGAATAACAGGTGTTTCTCTGCGCCATGGCAATGATTTGGCAATTCGAAATCCATAAATCTATGCAAATTGGAAAATGCTCTTTTGTCTAAAAGAATATGCAAGAAAAATAACATCATGCCGTCCACTGCCTTTCAATCACATCAGAATTCCAGTTGTAAAGTCCGCTAGGCTCCAGTCAAGTGCGTTCTCTATAAATGTACTTCTATTTGAATGAAGGACGACGTTTACTTTGTAAAAAAAACTAAGGCAAGATCAAATGAAATATACTACTGGTAGACACGATAGTTCTAGGATTCTGAACCTAATAAATGTGTAAGAAAGGTCACAGTGGTGAGTGTGTGGTCCAAACAATTGAGTAAGTTTGGTCCGTAGAATTCCTGCTGGCGGATTCCTTCCCAGATGCCCCTTCCCAAATCCTGGTTTGCAATAGTACCTTTGGCCAGCAAGAACAATATGAAATCGAAGTGAAGATTGCAAACTTCAAGTTGCACTTCATAACAAACAACGTTCTTGTAAAGTTGAAAGGTCATCTTTTCTCTTTCTTTTGGCTTCCCGTCATACAAGGGCACGGAGTGGTTGTTTTCCAAGTATGAGCTTTGTTATGGTGTTCCTAGGTTCTATTCGTTGTCCAAAATGTTAGGGTTGCGCGCGCGCGCGCACACACAAATACATCAGTGAGGTGGGCGGGCAGGAGGCGGAGGTCAGCAATGTCAGGCTCCCATGGCGTAATTACTGACGCTCGCATTCCAGCCGCTGTATGAGAGGCAGCTAGGTTCTTCTGGCATAAATGACGTGCGGCAAGGAGAGAAAGAGGGAGCGTGCGTGCGTTCAGAAGCTTCCTTCTTTCTTCGCTCCCTCCCTCTAGCTCTCTCTTAGAATCTACAGGGACGACTTTGAGTCCTTCGATGTTAGCTAGTGTATATAAACAAAGACACATTGCGCTGGCTTGGGCTCTCCTTAAAATCCCAAGCTCTTACTGCAGTAACTAGCAAAAGACGCGCTATTCTCTAGTACTCTTAAACCCCGTCCCTCTTTTTTCATTTCTCTTTCCTTCCCTTCAATGCCTCAGGAAAATTCATCTCCAGGGCTGGAGCTTCCTTGAAGCCTTGCGCTTTTTTTCTCAGCAACGTCTCTAGACAGCGCTCGCTTGCTGTCATTTTGAGGGAATAAAGCGTATTGGCAAACTACATGTAAAGACGGAACCGCCACAGAAACCGAGTAGGTATGCTATGAATGGGATGCTGGAGGGGAGGGGCAATACTTGAATAAAGTTTGGATACTTTCAATCAAGGCAAATCTGGGCGTAGAACCAGAGCCCTTGCAGCAGTGCTTGGTAAAAGAGTAGACAGGAGCGAGTCAGAACTGAACCCAGAAGTTGGAGCAGCAGTCTTGAGTGTAAGATTTCGGTAAGCTTCGGCAGAGTGGGGGAGGAGTGCTCTTTCGTCCGCACTCTTTTCTTCTCTGCGGATTGCAGTTGTCATGGTAATGATGCTAGCGGGCTTCCCCACGCCGCCGTGATGAATGGCAGCAATTTGTCCTGGTCCGGAGCTACCGGAGATCAGCGTCCTTTCAGAGAAATTTGTGCTTTTGGCCCTTTGCCGCGAGTTTTTCTGACGAGAGTGTGATTTCGGCGAAAGGGTGAGACAGGTTTAGGGGGAGAGACTGACAAAAGACAATAGGGCAATCTGGAGTAGAAAGCAATGATTGTTAAAGGAATTGGCCGTGGAAGTTGCTGAGTTTTTTTCTCGTGGATGGGGACGAACAAAGTCAACGGATTTGCTGCTGCTCCATCCTTGGCTCTTTTCAGCTGCTAGCGCACCAGGAGCTTGCATGGGTAAAAGGTTGAGAGAAGCCATGAAGGCACCGCCGAGATTATTCCAAACTTTTCTGATAAGATCAAGTGGTGAAAGCTGCTGAATTTCAACCCCTTTGTTGATAACTGGGCTAAAAGATGACAATTGGCTAAAAACGAAACATATGGCGAGGTTCCCCTATGTTGATCCTCAGTGCCTCTTTCTAGCAGGCTGAGTCCTAGAAGCTGAGCAAAATATCTGGAGATGCAGAGAATATCTGCTTCATTCTTAAATACAGTTGAAAAAAGGAAGTAACCTTACTATTTGGAGGATTGTTTGAACCCCAGTATTGCTTCTTCTACAGGTGCATAGCTAGAGAGATGTGCTGTTCTAAGGGAAAATCATTTGAGAGGAAAGAGGAAACAATCTCAAGACATCTATTTTGATATCACTTTTAAACCTTGAAAAGTTATTTTAAAATGTATTCATGGCCATTACAAAAATAAGTCTCTGCCCAGTCATGATTTAAAGTTTTGTATCTCTCCTTAAAATTAAACTATGAAACTGCAGAATTGTAACTATTGTTTTTAGCAATATATTGACAGGATATGGTAAATTGCAGAGCTTCTAATTACATTATCCATGGTCTTAATACCATTTTAAAAAGGAGAGAACAGTAATTTGGTAATTTTCTTTATGATGTTTCCTATATTCCATACTTTTAAAACTCTTAACTAATCTGGTAGTATGATAAACTGACAGAAAACACATTGGATTAATTGGTTCCTAAGATTATAAATTTTTCTAATGGAATTACAAAAATAGAAAAAAAACTAGTTTGAAAGTGCAAAGAAATCAAAAAGACTGTGATGAGTAGTATTTTGCTATCTATACCAAATACAAACATTCTGGAATTGTAAGCTAATGGAAGAGATGGGGTAATAGAATTAATTTAGAGAAAGCATTTATTGAGATGCAAACTCAATAGATGAGGAGTCAAAAACTTTCTTCTTTCATAATGAAAAAATTAAAATTATTAAGAGATATAGCCCCCATCTGATTCACAGTTATGGGAAGGGTGTGGGGATGGGGTTCAGAGCATTTTTCAAGGCACCTTCAATAGGATGGAACTTGAGAAATGGGTTTTTCAGCATTTCAAGTGGTATTCCTATACGAGGTTGCAGGACTGAAAGGATTTGCCAATAGTATTTGTGATTCATATATGTAAGGAGACTATCAGATATAGTCACCTGTTCTTGCTCTTCACTATCAGAGCATGAGATCTCAATGATTAATGCAAGGAAGTAATGAGAGATTCTCCAGATGATCCATTTTTCTTTCCATTTCCCTTGGTGTAGTGAAAATTGTGCACAAAAATGTGAAGATCCAGTTTTCAGATACAAAAAGGTGCTGTCCACTACAGACCTACTGAAACAATTCTTTTCTTGTCTTACTATGGTAAGAAAAACTATGGGCAAGTTAAGTTAAGCAGTCTGCCCTGTCTACTGTTGAGCTGACTTTATTAGTTGTTCAACTCAGTAGGATTTAGGGCCAAATTATATGTCAAGGCAAATTGAGGTAGAAACATCAGCATTAATCTGAGCAGCTCACAGTGTATTTGGAACTGAGTGCCTTTCCCAGGTTTGTGGTCCTGGAAGTCAGCTTCATTATACAATAAGACACTTTTATTTATGTGGGAGGAAAACAAAGAGATGTGTGACTAGAGGATATTTGCCTTGTGATCTAATGATACTTGTTTTGGCTACATCAGATTAATCCCAGGATTTAATGTAGGGACAGTTATCAAATTTCTAGGGACACACATTAGAACAGGGGTCCCCAGCCCCTGATCCATGGACAGGACCGGGCCATAGCATACCAGAAATTGGGCCACGCAAACAAGCAAAGCCCCATCTGCATGATCAGGTAGCACATGAAACCATGCCCCATGCGATTCACAGAAAAACTTGTCTCCATGGAACCAGCCTGTGGTGCCCAAAAGGTTGGGGGCCACTGCTTTCGAAGACTCTGCTTCTAAATATACATTTGAATTTGGTCTTTCATCCAATTCAGAGATTCAGCTGTTGTTTCCATTGTCTATTTGTTTAGGACTTGGGAATTGAAAGGAGCTTTCAGGAGATTATGTAAATGACTGCTAAGGAGTAAGAACCAACTCTCTGTCTTTCTGTCTGTCTGTCTGTTTGTCTGTGTCTGTCTGTTTGTCTCTCCCTGTTTCTGTCTCTCTCTGTCTGTTTGTCTCTCTGTCTCTCTCTGTCTGTCTCTCTGCCTGTCTGTCTCTGCCCTGGCTCCAGACACAACACTATTGAGGAGGGATCACCACCGCCACGTACACTTGCTCCAGTAGCAGCAACAGCCTCAGCCACTATTCTGTCAGTTACACCCATCATTCAACAAGCAAGACACTTTCCAGGTAAAAAGCATTGTTTGCATTTACCCCTAGTCAGGTAGCTGCTTTTTTCCTTCCCACTAATGATGTCTTGCAAAGTTGAATTCATAAATGAACTAATTGATTTGGAAAGGCAATTTTTAAAAGCATTATTTTCTCTGAAACATTTTCTATGATATTCAGAAATACATGTTACAATTTTGGAGAAGAGATTATCTTCCTTTAGGTCAAAAAGGAATTTTTTGTTGAGAACAATTTCTCAACCAATGTCAGATTATGATATTTAAGTTTTTATTAAAACCATATTGTTACCTAATTAATATTAGGAATGCTATAAACTTCCTATAAAATACTTTTTTAAATATCAAACACTATTTTTCATGCAGTTTTTTAATAGACAAATTTGAATTAATGCTTTTTTGCAATTGCTATTAGTTAAAATATGGTAATATTAAGCAGTTTTTATATGAATGTTTTTGTTTCATGTTTTAATTATTTTATTAAAAATAGAGATTAGTATGCAAGCATATTTGTTTTTCAAAATAAATGGATTAGTCTAAAACTCTTTGCCTTAAAATGTCCTGTCATATTTCATTAATATACAATATATATTTTGCCCTTTTCTTAACAAGTTCCATATAACTCCATAACATTTAAAACTGAACAACTGCCTTTGGATTTTTAGAGTAGATGTTTAATTCTCCTTTATCTCAAAATTCTTAATTCCATTTCTTTAAGAAATAAAGAAAAAGTACATTAAAAATCATATTTTATTTTGAGGGATCGAATTCCTGCTAGTATGTTGTTCTGATTAAATTTTGTTTACTGTAATAGAAAATCTCTGCAATAAAAATATTTTTTTTATAGCACATAAATCCAAGTAGCAACTTTGGAAAATGCAGAAATTACTGATCTTTATTTGAGGTATATTTTTACCCCGTCCCTTCCTTTTCCTTTCTTTTTAATGTCACTCCCCCTCCCTCCATAATATATAAAATAAATGAAAACATTTAAGAAGCTACAATATCTTTCAGTTTCAGTGAGATTTTTTTTATATTTAAAGAAAAACAAATCCAGACAATTCCATTGTTGGAAATGAATTGGCTATATCCTTTGTTGGGTATATCTTTCTGAAACCAGATATATTTGCTATCCCACAAATTCCTTGTAATTCAGTGTTAACACAAAGGTTGCTACTAATGTGACAGTCTTCCTACATAGAACACCTTTAATGTTACAGAAAGCATGTGTACCTATTAACTATGGGTATCTTTCACTACACACATTTCATTGTAGATTATAATGCAGCGTTATTATTGTGTTACTGCTGCTGCAACTTTATTTTCTCAATATCCCTGCTTTGCCATCTCATAAATAACAAAACAGAGAGAGGACATGGGACTCTCCCTTGGTTTTTATCTCAAAAATAACCTTGTAAATGAACTGAGATTAACTAAACCAAAGTTTCCATGGCCTGAGGATAGAATGGAACTTCATTCTCTCAGTCTTAATCCATCTTAACTATTGTATAGTATGTGGAATATGCTGGCCCAATGTATAGCTAGCTTAGGAAACTGTGTGTAGAGTAAGCAGCATTTTAAGGGTTAAAATGCTGTCCCCTTAAGGGTTTCTGGGAAATGCAATTTTAGTTGTTACCTGGTTATATCTGTGTTTTAATTGGCCACTGGGAAGGGCTTGTGTCTTTATTATGGGACATCCTATTACATGCCATTCTATTATCTCTCTCCATGAATCCTAGCCAGGAGGCTAGGAGCTCCGTAGCAGCATGTAAGATTTACGTAGAATGGGGAAATCCATTATCCTTTTACCTATGAGATGGGTCCAGATTACAATCTACATTCTGGAAGAACTTCTACAATAACTGTGAGTTAATGTCTTGAGGATACCCGGAATAAAGTAATTTTGAATTAAGCTATTCTCCAAAGCACCTGAGGGCAGGACAAGAAACAATGGGTGGAAACTAATCAAGGAGAGAAGCAACCTAGAACTAAGGAGAAACTTCCTGACAGTTAGAACAATTAATCAGTGGAACAGCTTGCCTCCAGAAGCAGTAAATGCTCCAACACTGGAAGTTTTTAAGAAGAGACTGGACAGCCATTTGTCCGAAATGGTGTAGGGTTTCCTGCACGAGCAGGGGGTTGGACTAGATGACCTCCAAGGTCCCTTCCAACTTTACTACTACTACTACTATTATTATTATTATTATTATTATTATTATTATTATTATTATTATTATTATCCATTGAGTTTATTCTGCCTATTTCAAGTGAAATCCAGCAACCTTCTTTGCATGAGACAGAAAATGGAATTTGCATCGCTAATTGTTAGTAACTGTCCTGCTAAATGAAAGTGATACTTGTGTGCTTTCCCTGACTACGAAATATTTTTCTAGGTACAAAATTTGTTATAATCACCATGAAAGGAGTGCAAATATTGTTAATGGAACTCTATTTTACTTTTGTAGATATGCCCTGTATGCAAGCCCAATACAACCCTTCAGCCCGCTGCTCAAGTTATGCTGCTCAAACTTCCTGTGGTTCAGAATACAGTCCTGACATCATGAACCCTGACTACGCAAAGCTGACAATGGAATTAAATAGTGCTGAGATCAATGCCACTGCTGCCACCTCTCTGCCCAGTTTCAGTGCTTTTATGGAAGGTTATTCTGGGGGCTATGAACTGAAGCCTTCCTGCTTATATCAAATGCAGTCTGTCTCCTCTTCTTCATCACCTTCCTCTGCAAGCCAGAGACCCCTCATCAAGATGGAACATAATCGGATGCACAGTTATCACTCTTCACTTTCTCTAACAGTGGATGAAGGCATGGCCAGCACCTCCATGTACTTCAAGCAGTCCCCACCCTCTTCACCTTCTACCCCTGGGTTCATACCCCAACAGATCTGGGATGAATCACCCTCACATTCTCTTTCACCAGCACAGACTTGCATGGCCCCATGCCACCTGGTAGACACTGCCCCTATGAAAACCATGCCTGGCCATTTTCCACTTTTCCATTTCAAGCATTCACCACCCCATACACCTATTGCAGATGGCCATGTGTGCTATGATGCCGCTGCCTTGAGCCTACCTATTGGATCAGATAGGCCTAGAGCTAGTCAAGCAGCTATGGAAAATCATCCGTATGGGCACCCCATGTCCAGGAGAGCAGCCACTTTAGCTTTTGTACCACTGGGACTCAATACAACCAGTTCCAACCTTCTAGGTGAGAACAGTAGTAGCAGCAGTGGCCTTCCCTCTCCACCTAGCAGAAGTTCTTCATCAGGAGAAGGAACTTGTGCTGTATGTGGGGACAATGCTGCTTGCCAGCATTATGGTGTGCGGACTTGTGAGGGATGTAAAGGCTTCTTCAAGGTAAGAATTGCTTAATTTCTTCATATGCCAATATCTGAACTTATAGCTTATTAGAGAGAGGGATAGCATACAAATTTAATAAATAAATAAATAAATAAATAAATAAATAAACTTGTGTGCAAAAGTAAAGGAGATTAATTTGTGAATGAATATATGGTTTCTCTGCACATTTCAGTCAACCAATCAAATATACCACCAGTTCTCATGAGATTGCAATTTAAGATGTATCAGTCCGTATTGTGTCTACAGCTCCGCAGATCCCATGGACGCTATTGGACTTATATATCCTTGTAATTCATCAGTATTCTTTCACTGCTTGTAGCTATGCATATTCATGTATTTAGTACTATCAGTATTCATTATATTTTAGGAATCTAATTATCTAATTACTAATAGTAAAGGGAGACAAGAAAGAAGAAAGAAAATTTGAAGGGTGGGGAGGATGATGTAATTTAAAATTCTGTAATTTGGTTTCCTTTTTTAAAAATCTTCATCAGTCAACATTTATACTACTATTATTGTCAACCATATTTATTTATTTATTATAATTTGTATTTCCCGACTTTCTGCAAGAAATGTACAGCAACATAGATTGTTTTTTTATTAAAATATAATAGTTCAACTATTTTTACAAAATTATGGTTAAAAAAGTTACTTAGCAAGTTGCTTAGGGTAGCAGCTATATCATATGATGAACTCAAACCTGATCATATAATCTAGAAATAAGTATAATTGAATGAATGAGGTTTACTCACAAGAAAGCATATGAAGAATTATATCCAAAGAAGCTTACAAATCTAAACCACTGTTGCTTCTTAATAAATAACTTGGTGCTGCTTTTTTCTGACCTTCAGAATAGAAGACTAAAGCTAAATAATTCTACAATAAGTCTTGAATTTTAAAAAACTGAAGTCATTTTGTGATTAATCTATAACCATAAAAAGCAATTTATTGTTGCACCATTATATCCTCAGAGAATATTTGATACTAAATAAAATAGGTATGATATTTTCCAAGGAAAGTTATTTAGAAGTTATTAATTCCTAATGTTTTATAATAAATGTCAAATAATATAGGCATTTGTTTTCTCCTTAATAATCATGCTGTTAGACTTATGGCAAAATGTTTAACAATTTTTGAGGTTACCAAACAAGATTCTATATTAGTTTATCCTGATTGATACACTGATTTTATAATGAGAATTATTTCTGAAAAAAACATATGTTGCGCTCCAGCTTAGAAGTGCCATGAATGTATGTTTTAAAGTTGTAACACAATACTCTTGTGAATTGTAGTATTTCTGAATATGTTTTAAGGATAGTTTTGATAATGTTGTTACTTTTGTAATAGAAATGTATAAAAAATATAGCATGCATGCACAGAATTTCTTAATACACTGAAAAAAATCATTAAATAATTTTTCAAATTCTAATTTTAATAAATTTTAATAAGGCTTGTTTTGCAAATTATATTTTACTGCCTGAGAAACATGAAAGTTTTCACATTTGAAAAATGGATTTTTTAAATCACAAACTGTTGTAGAAATAATAAAGCTCCAAATTTACGATGATGACACAAAAGTAGTTGCTTTTCTAACGTGAAAAACTTAATTCACTAGATTTACTAATAAATGCTTGACAAATATTACATTTATTTTAAAACAGAGAGCTACCTAGAATTATCTATTTATAGTTAATTTATAATTTAGATTCATAGCTCCTGAGAAATATTGAGTTGAGTACCCTTATAAATATTAAAGAATGAATGAATAAAAAAAAACATTTTAAAATTGAATTTAGACACATCATTAAAATAACTGTCTATATTCTTTCTTTTTGTGTAAGTCTATGATAAGGCATGCTATAAAGATATCTTTATATAATTTGTAATTTAATTTCTATATTTAGCTTTTTTATATCTTGTTTCTTATTGAATTAGCTTATTTTTGAATACCAATATAGATATAAAGAAACCAGTATGCAACTGTTCTATTACTTTAGTAGGATCAGTATTCACCAAACTGAACCAAATAGAAAATTGTTCTCAATAGAATATTAAAAATTAATCCCCAAACATATAATATGACAACCTGATAACTTCACTATTTTAGGAAATTAATTTTATCTATTCATAAAAAGTGTACAATTGCATTTTAATTCTGGTGTATAAAAAAGAATGGTTAAGATCTCAGTTCATTCAGATGACTCTTCCATTATATTTTTTAGAGAACAGTTCAGAAAAATGCAAAATATGTTTGCCTGGCCAATAAAAACTGCCTAGTAGATAAGCGTCGGCGAAACAGATGTCAGTACTGCCGATTTCAGAAGTGTCTCAGTGTTGGTATGGTAAAAGAAGGTAAAGCATTCACTAATATTAGCTTACATATTGTTAATAGCAAATAGTTTGCTTTTAAAAGGAATGGCTTTCTTATTTTAATGCTGAATTATAGAAATAATAGTGAATGCCCTATTTCTGTGTGATTTATATATGAGCTGAAAAGCATATTATGTTGTAACATCTTCATTCCAAATGATAAGTACATTCTTCAAAGATCTAAGCAGTCAGGCATAACTTTTAAAGGCAACAAGATTTCACACAATGTTTGTTTTAAATCTTTAGACATAGGAAGAAAATTATTGTATTTGTAAAATAAAAATTTGCAGTGCTCAAAACTGCATTTAATTAAAATTCTAGTAGATTTATTCGTGGTGTTGGATCTGTATGCATAAAATCAGATGCTAATTATTATTAATTATTAAAATACTCTTGAATCTTTCTGTAGTTTCAATATGTTATATTAGGAAAGTATTAATTATTATTGAAATGTGTTTTAATTATATTTATACATATCCTGCAATAGCTCAGATTGTATATCTATTGATGTTTTAATTCATCAACTGAATTTTTGATTACTTAATATTATAGTTAATTGAAATCATTAATGCAAACTATCCCTGAAGAAAACCTATAACTATGTTGCTTCTACATTCATGTAACCATAAGATGCATGTATTAAATTTTACTATATATTAGCTCAAATATTATGTTTAATTGCAAATGTCTTAGAGTCTTTCTAATTTATGGAAGTATATGGAAATCAAATATATATATAGCTTCTATTATAAAAAACTCATATAAGATGTTACAATTAAGATGAATGATGTTGTTAAATTATTTCTATTGGTTTTTTCCCAATAACATCCATTTATGTAAATGAAGTGAAACCTGTTAGTAATAATATGAATGTATAAAAAGATAAACACTTTTGTTGTTTGATTTTATTATTTGAAAGTGATTGTGCAGTGTTATTGTAATAGGTTCCTGTAGAAATTTGTCATAGTCCCTTTCAAGCTTGATTGTGTTTTTGTTTTTATTCCTTGACTAGTTGTCCGTACTGACAGTTTAAAAGGAAGAAGAGGCCGGCTACCTTCAAAACCAAAGAGTCCTTTGCAGCAAGAACCTGTGCAGCCCTTGCCTTCATCTCCTCCAGTCAGTATAGTGAATGCTCTTGCACAAGCCCTATCTGATTCTGCACCCCAGGAACTTGATTACTCCAAAGTAGGTATCATGTTTTTCTGAATAAAGTTATTTAGCTCTGGGTTTTAAGTTATAAATTTATGTGCTGAAGTATAATAACAGTAATCTCTTTGCAATAGCAATAGTGATTTGAACAGTTAAGTTACATTGGAAACTTGCTGAGGGTAATGAGATAATTGTCCCAGGTTCCAGATACAGTATAAAAAGTATTCCAAATATTTGGAAGTCAGATGGATTAATATTTTTATTCATGACAGTAAAGCAGTCAGTAATACATAATTCCAAGAAGTATCTCAATATTTTCCAAACATTCCTATTTACAGAAATTCATTAACCTCAGAAGACAAAAGAAAAAAAAATGACCTATTCTTGAGCTTCCACTAAAGAGATATTATATTTACTTATTTGATGTAGAGGCTTAAATCAAAATTAAACGAAATCAAACTACTAAATTAATCAGTGGAACAGCTTGTTTCCAGAAATTGTGGGCGCTCCATTACTGGAGATTTTTAAGAAGAGGCTGGACAGTCACTTGCCTGAGATGGTTCTCCTGCTTGAGCAGGGGGCTGGACTAGAAGACCTCCAAGATCCCTTCCAGTTCTATTCTATTCTATTCTATTCTATTCTATTCTATTCTATTCTATTCTATTCTATTCTATTCTATTCTAAATTTAGAGAGAAGATTTGGTCTTCCCATAGGAGCTGTAACTGAATCCATCCACCTTGCATAAAAGTGGATGCTGCTGGCATCCACTTAAACCAGAGAATGAGCTTTCCTGTGAATGTAATGTTTCAGGGGTTTGACCACTGTCCCTCATGACAATTGACTGGAAATGCCTGCTGATATAGAAGTGTAATAATCATAAAACAGTATCCCAAACTCCTCTTGAAAGTGATCCAGAAGGATTCTATGGGCAATGTTCATGAACTGAGACAGCTTATAGGATCATGTACCCACTAGTGCATTCTGGTAGAACCAAGTGACTAGAACAGTAGAAAAAGTCTATGTGTATCATCACATCATTGCCTAAAATATTATTATCAGAGCTAGCTGAAACAATTTCAGGGGTTGGACTTCTTATCTTGATTAATTATGTAATTCGACTAAGAGCAGATTAGAAGTTTATGTTCCCTATGGCAAATATGACCCTCTCTTTATTATATGACTTGAAACATAGATTGGTTTCCTCTCTGAACAGAGATCATGGAAAGTAGAAGAGGTCATAATGAATTCAATGGTTTGCTAAATTGGCAAGATGAGGACTGGCCCTAGTTAATATATTTATTAATTCTTTCTTGAATAAAGGTTATGTCTCTTTCTGCTTAAAGGAGATTATGCATTCACAACATTATTATTTTTTTTAAAAAAACTTCCTTTTTATCTGGAAGTCCTGGAAAAATGTATTGGTCAGCCACACAAACTGCTTTAAAAGGGAGTGGCCTCATATCTCTAGATATAATTGGAATTTGCTAATCATCCGTATTCCTTTCTTTGGGGCTCTCAGCAAAGACTAGGACTACTTTGATCATCTTAATGAGTGATATACACCAGGAAATGGACTGGGGAAATGTAGTCTTTCTTGTTCATTAAATTTTCAACAATTTTTAAAACTATCAGACATAGTAGCCAGTGCTTGACTTTGCTAGGCTGTTTTATATTGGTTCGCCTTTTTTCCCATCAAGATTATATTAATAAGCTGGTGCTTGTAATTGTATGTATATAATGTGTAATTTGGCTACATGATGTAAATGTTTACATTGTGTAGTTAGTATAGAATAGAATAGAATAGAATAGAATAGAATAGAATAGAATAGAATAGAATAGAATAGAATAGAATAGAATAGAATGCAATGCAATGCAATGCAATACAATACAATAAATCTGGAAGGGACCTTGGATTTCTTTTAGTCCAACCCCCTGCTCAAGCATTTGAGATAAGTGAATGTACCATTTCACATAAGTGACTGTCTAGTCTCTTCTTAAAAACCTCCAGTGATGGAGCACTCACAATTTCTGAAGGAAAACTGTTCCACTTGTTAATTGTCCTCATTGTTAGGAAGTTTCTCCTTAATTTCAGGTTGCTTCTTTCTTGGATAGTTTCCAACAGTTGTTTCTTGTCCTGCCCTCTGGTGCTTTGGAGAATAGTTTGATGCCCTCTTCTTTGTGGCAGCCCCTCAAATAGTGGAATATTCCTATCATGTCACCGCTGTTTCTTCTTTTCTTTAGACTGGCAAGCCCAAGTCCTGCAGCCATTCTTCAAGTTTTAGTCTCATTTTAGTTACTCTTTTCTGAACTTTTTCCAAGGTCTCAAAATCTTTTTTGTAGTATGGTGACCAAAACTGGTTGCAGTATTCCAGGTGTGATCTTACTAGGGTTTTATAAAGCAGTACCAATACTTCATATGATCTTGATTCTATGCCTCTGTTTACAACCCAGGATTGTATTAACTTTTTTGGCTGGCTCATAGTCAAATTATCATCCTCTAGGACTCCAAGGTCCCTCTTACAGTTGTTGTTTTTGAGCCAGGTCTCACCTAATCTGGACTTGTACCTTTGATTTTTCCTTCCTGAATGTAAAACTTTGCTTTTCTCCACAATAAAATTCATTTTGTTGATTAGGGCCCATTGTTCAAGTTTGTCAAGATATTTTTGAATCCTGAGCTTGTCTTCTGGGATCTTGGCTATTCCTGCCAGTTTAGTGTCATCTGCATATTTGATGAGTTCCCCTTCTATTCCCTCATCTAAGTCATTTATGAAGATATTAAAGAGGGGGAGTGGAGCCAGCTGTCAGAGTGGGCGGCGGTGTGAATGGTTTCTCCGGCACCGCCAAATGCTCATCCTAGTTCCGTGGGGCTCATCTGAGCCGAAAGAAGCCTCGTGGGGGCAATGGAAGATGTGAGCAATCTGCTGCTCTGCCATCGGTGGTGACTGGCAAAGCGTAGCAGATAAACCTGGTACTGAGCAGATTGGGAAGAAGATGACCAAAAATGGCCACTGAAGCTGACAGCTGGATGGAGTAAGCGAGGAAATAGTGGAACGACAGTAAATTGGATTGACTAAATTGACTTTTCCCAAAGCTTTGTGAGCGGTTTTGGTAAAACGCAGCAAAAGAGAATGCAGAAAGGGGAAGCCTGGAAAAAGAGAAGCTGAAGGAGTGGAAAGACAGCGGCTAGTGAAAGTGGCAGGAAGAACACCTGGAAGGGTCTGATGTGGAGGAGCCAGACTGCACTGATAAAAGACCTGGCATTTTAAAAACCACACAAAAGGACAGGAATTAACCTTCATTTAAGCTAAGAACTTTGTCTTATGGCCTAGGGCTTTTGCCTTTGTCTGCTGAGTGGATTGGCTGGCGGAAAGGTGTCTGATCTCTTTCTTTTAGTGTTTTTTTCTTCTCCCCGGAAAGAGATAGAGATTGCATGACAGAAGAAACTGGAATGATATAGAGACTGATAACTTTGGAAAGTGTTGCTGAGGAGATAGCAGGTGACTATATGGATGTATAGAATGGTATGGTGTGAGACAGAAGAAAGAAGAAAAGAGAAAGGATATTAAAGAGAGATTGAAGGGTTTATTGGATTATATAAAGAAAAAAGGAAAATGCTGGGAAAGCTTAAAGTTAACAGCTGAGATTGAACTGTTAGAACTTGTACTTGCATTAGCATTATATTGATAGAATTACATAGATGGAATATACCAGCGATATTGTTTAAACATCTGGAAGGGGAATAACGTAAAGGGGGAAAAAGTGGAAGAACAAAAAGAGGAAAGTGGAACGTGGATAATTTGGAAGAAGAGTAAGTGGTGGGAAAGTTTATTTAATCCAAATTTAGCTAAGATTGATGGGGGAAGAAAAATGTAGCACAAGGTTCCAGCCCTATGAGCCAAAGATCGTTAGATGACATGCTTCAAAGAGAATGTTCCAATCCACTCAAAGAATTGCAGGCAATGATGCAGGCAATCCAGGAAGTCATGATGAAGAACCATGAGGAAATCAAAATGGAACTAGAAGTAGTTAGGAATGTTATTGGAGAAATTAGAGAGAAGATTTAGGCAATGGACGGAAGATTTGAAGCTTTTCAGCAGCAAATCGCAAAAAATGAACAAAAGTTGCTGGCAGTAGAGCAAAGATTGGATAATGAAGAAAAGAAGGTGGAAGAGATGGACAAAAACTTAACTGAGGCTAATAAAGAGTTAATGACAGCGGTGATGTTACTGGAAGCAGAGAAGGTGACCCAATATATTAGATTCCAAAATGTTATTGAGGAAAGAGGAGAAGATCTTCCAGACAAGATGGCGGGTTTGTTGGCAGGATTGACAAAGAAGAGATGATTGCTGGAATGGACGAGACATACAGGGTGCAGATAAACTATGGGAGATGACATAACCTTCCCAGAGAGGTCCATGTAAAGTTTATAAAAAAGAAAATTAGAGATGAATTGTTATATAGAACACGTGATGAACAGTTAGAATACGGAGGGAAACAAATTATTGTATTAAAACAGATACCAAAAAAGATGAGAGACCTCCGAAAGAACTACCTCTTCCTGACGTCCAGGCTACATCAAAGCAATGTAAATTTTAGATGGTTAACACCAGAGGGGCTTATTGTGACTTGGCAAGAGAAGAGGTTTAGATTGGATACAGTAGAGAAAGTGGAAGACTTTTACAGGCAATATTGTGTTTCAGAGGAAGACCTGAGGGATCTCGGAGAAGAAAGAGTTGTGGTTGAAAAAAGAAGAGATATTGAACGAATGTTGGAGAAAAGAGGGACAGAGCAAAGCATGGAGGAAGTGAGAGGGAGAAGAGGTCAAGATAGGCTAGAACAACAGAGGAGAAGCTCAGAAGAGGTGAAGGAAATAAGAATTACTAGAAGCACAAAGACACGACAAAAACAGGACAATGGGAGAGGAGTGTAAGTGTAAGGACCCACCCCACTTTGCATCTTAAGAAGACAGAACTCTTGGAATAGTTCTTCCAACAGGAATCCTTTATTAAGAGAAAATGGTTGCAGGCATGCTAGA